TCCCTTTAGCTATCAAAGTCAGATGTTTAGACTAATTCAATTGTCCAGGCTTACTTTAGTCAGTAGATGGAATGGAAGAGAGCAAGGCAAGATTAAATCAGTATTCCCCATCCATTTTTTTCACAATATAATATTTTTTTCACCAGGCTGATACCAAATGGCACGCTTTAGAAATACAAAAAATATATTTAAGTAACTGAAAATGACCCCAGTAGAACCTGGTAGCATCTTCCTTTCAAGAAACTACTATCTTCTACTTGACAAGCTGGAAGGGAAAGCTATTTTCTGTAAATTCTCAAAGAAAATGCTGTTTCATTTACTTGTATGAGTGAACGTGCATGCACACATGCAAAAAAGGCCTGATTTTAATTGATTTGTCTATTTACGCTGATGTTAATGAAGTTCAAGACGATCGATCTAATAACTTTTCATATCTAGAGTTCACAAATTACGCTGCTATTCCTGTCATCAAACCTGGTCATCACAAACATTTTCATATGTAGTTTCTCATATTCACTAAATGTTATTATATAGCTTGATTAATACAGTGATTTGATGATCATGCACACATAAACTTATTGGTATCTCTGCTCAAAATGCTATTTTGATTCCTTATCATCTCATCCTTATAATCCATAAAACAACATCATCTTACCAACTGCATCTAAAAAAATCCTTCCATCTAATAGTGATTCCTGAGGAAAGGATGACTATCTATCAGTGGGTAAAGCCTTCCAACTTTAATGATCAAATTGTAGGTAATATTTCATCTGATTTGATGTAGTTTGGGTCCAATATTCTAAATGTCTTGACTAAAATACATTTTAAAAATACACATATTGATGCAAGTACTATTTGGACATGTGACTTGACTATCCATTTAGTGTGTAGGGATGAGATCCTGGAACACTTCAGTACATGTTTAACACATGAATATTTCCATTAGAATCAGTGTGACAACATGCATGATGAAACTTCAGCACGTGCAGTCGTGTCTCCTGGACCAGGGTTTGGTGAGCAGGAAACCAGTAACAATGATAAGAAATTCCATCGTCTCCTCTGCTTTCACAGCGCAGGGTAAGATAAAGTGGTTAAAAATGCCTGTATTCCAGTTTTTCTGGTGTTCCCATTTTTGCTGTCATCTGGCAACAGGATGTTCAGAAACTCTGGACAAATGGGAAGTGCATATATTTACTAGACTAAAACAAGATGCTCATATTTGATGCATGCAGGCAAATCAACTGCTTGTACATGCCATACTTGGGGCCTACCACTTTCCAGCCACATCAGGTGTGCTCAGATTATAAAAAATGTGCACCACTTTAACAGACATACCACTTATGTATTTATCTTCCACCTCTGCCTCTTAGTTGAACTTAATTTGTAGCTGATGAATATAAAAATAAAAATTACCTGCATAGCAAAGACAGATAATAAATGTGTGGCATTTTAGTATAAAAATTCAATCTGATATACTGACATATCTATGAATAATGTGAACACAGCTCTGCTGTGAAAAGCTGCTAACCACTGATAAATATTGAGCAAGCAATTAAATCCATTATTTTGCATCAGTACCTGTCTTTCAGTGAGGTCAAGGTTTACTGCTATCTCATATCGCCTCAGCCTGGTCAAATAGTTATGATGAGCAAATTCTGCTTCTAGCTCTCTGATTTGCTCTTTGGTGAAAGCTGTCCTTTCCTTTCTGGGTTTACTGTTGACCTCTGACTTGTAGTTTCCTTCCTGGGAATCTGAAAAAGAAGATGAAAAATGGAAGTCATTACAAGTGTACAGCTAATTAGGAAACAACCCCCAATGATCAACAACGTAAGTTAAGGTTTTCACACTTTCTTCTCTCTGAGATAAAGGAAATGTACTCTTGCTTTCTTACCTATGGATCTTCCACTGTAAATTGGGAAGGCAGCAGTAATTCTGACAGACTTAAGCTGCTGCTTCCACTCATGCAAGTCAAACATTAGCTCTAAAACCTTGCAATGTTTCATTTCCATACCACTTCTCTGTAGAATTCTTGCAAAGCTTCAACTCTTTCCCACTTCTAGGAACAACCACGACAGAGTAGGATGTGTATCATTCAATTAGTGTCTTAACGAGCAATACCTTAAGAGTTGTTCTCTCCTACCATTTCACTAACACGTTAAGCCAAAACTCTGTTTTAAAGAACATGTTAAGGTCTAGTCCAGTTGCACTTTGAGAGAAAGGTAACAGACAAAGCATGGGAAATTCAGTAAGTATCAAAAAGAAATCAGAGAGGATCCCTGTGTGGCAATGGGCTTCCCTCCCCTTCATGCCTGGCTGCAGGTAGGGAGATGAGGCCAGAGCTGGTATCAGTACAGAAAATTTTCTACCACTAAAGCTTGTAACCGAAGGTATACTTTTGGCCAAAATCAGAGGAGCTATGCTGAAACTGTCATTACCATGCTCCTGGTTCCTTTTACTCCCAGGAAGAGGTACATTTGGTCCTGCGCCAAACCACTGAAGTTGGTGACAGTCTTTCTGTTACTGTCAGCTAAGTCTGTTTAAATAAATGCTGTGAAAAGTGATCAAACGGTCAGAAGGAAAAAAAAAAAAGAAAGAGAGCATGAGAGAGAAAGAGTGACTAAAAAGAAAAAAAAAGGAGGACTGGACATTTATAACTTTGGGAATGATACAACACCTATAAATCCAAAATTAGCAGGAGATCAGTAGGAGCATCGTTAGTTAAATTCTGGCCTCATGAACCATCTTAAAAATGTCACAGATAAATTCACACTTCAGCTGCTGACTTAAATAGAAACCTGCATCAACTTCCAAATGAACAGGCCCATAAGAAATCACTCCCTGGGACTGCATCAGATGAATCATCAGCATGCCTGAGACTGTCCAACTGGCCAGTGAGTCTGGTTTCAAAACTACAGTCAGCTATCTGCATTTACAAAGGTATATAAAGGTTTTCACTTTTTGTTAGTTACTCTGTTGCTTGGAAGGAAAACGTATCTTTTTTTTGTTTTGCTCTGTCATGAGACCTGCTGATGCTTGACTCAGTGCTACAGTCATTAACTTATAATGTTTTAAAGACAATGGGTTTAAATCATCAAACCTCTTCACTTTTGCTGACTGGACCCACTGGCCTTTGCTGCATATGTGCGGTGCACTGCCGGTGTGAATGGCTGAGGGTATCCACCAAATTGGCTGAGTGGGTTTGGGACAAATGGGAGTTACTCAGCCACAAGCTATTAAGCTACTGCAGAAACCTGCTGTAGGGCTTCTCCAGGATAGGAGCCCCTTAGGTGGCACACACATTGGTGGCCAGGGCCAGGGTCTGTTAACCAACCTGGTCTGGCATAAGCCGATGAGGAGCTTGAGAAGTGCTGTATTTCAAATGCTATGGGACAGATGGACATGAGACAGGAGTCTGCTATTTCTCACTCAGACTCCACATAGAAAATTTGATAGATCAAAATCACCCTCACCTGGCAGGAATACAGGTAGTTCACATTTCTTCCTTTATACGAACTGACAAACTAGAAACACTACAACTTCTCTCTGCATTCTTCAATTGTAGGAATACACACATTGCTTTTCTTCCCTGAAATTTCTTCCTCTGCCACCTCACCATACCCCTGGAAAGGTCCAAATGCTATGCAGACAACCTGAATTTAAATATTTATGTCCCTATACCAGCACTCCAATGAATCACTGAAGAGAGACACCTACATCATTCTTCTCTAACATTCTGACTTCTACCAGAGATGTGTTTCATACATGTTTGAAAGCATGTGGGTGTGCATACTGCTCATGTACCTTATGACACGGAAACATATTTTGTACGTGTCACCGCTATAGTCTTTTTTAATCCCCTTGTAAACCTGTGCCCTGTGAGTCCATAAGCCAGGGAGTCTTCCCATGTTGTTACTTGCCGTAGGAAAGATCCATGGTTCACTGGTGCCTAAACTAAAGGTTGTAACTTTTAAATAAGAGTGCTGCACCTGCAGATGGCATGGACACCATATTGAAAATTCTGTACTAAAAATGAAGATGTAAGCCTGGAAATGCAACAGAAAGTGGGGTCATGAGTACAAAAGCTTGGTAGCTACTACTGTAGAGAACAGTCAAAGAGGAAAACTTAAAGAATACCCATTCAAACATCACTCAGGAGAACCTGGATCTGTAAAAGTGACTGAGACTCATAACACAAGCAATTTTTGTGCAAGCAGATGGTTCCATGATGAAATCAGAGTTACTGCACAGTCAGTAAAACATAACCAGACAAATCCTCCTGCAGGCTGATGTCCCAGCAGTCATACTCCAGTTTTGAGTTTTTAAGAATTTACGAATGCTGTTAGCATCGAAATTCCAGGTTCCTGGGATACCGGTGTAAGGAGAAGGAAACGTAATTGCACGTGAGTAGCATCTGTCCTTCATTTACCTGGAGAGAGGATTCAGTGCTGCTGGTAATGTTAACCCACACTGATCCTGTACAAATACAAGCCTGCTTGGGCAACTTGTTATTTACACATTCCCACCATTGCTGGATACTAGCTTTAAGGAAATGTCAGACTGTAAATGTCTGGCAGCCACAGTTCTGTTAGCAGTATGATTTCATCAGCAGACTAACACAGAGGGAAAGTTTCAATTACTTATTTATTTGTTGTGCATGTCATTAAATGCCTTTGTCACTGCTCGCTGTTTGCAGACCTATGCCTGGTGAAGCACAGCCCAGCCTATGTGCTGGCCATATCCACGCACAAATCGCTTGTTGGCTTTTTGCTTTGTCACACAAACCTATCTTGGCTGGTACGGCTTGCTAACATGGTCATAAATCCCTTATTCTGCATGGGGCAGCTCATTGTGTGGATTCTGACACAGCCTACACGTGCTTACCTTCCCTGTAGCAACTAAGAAGAAAATGTTCGTATCTGCATCACATCAGATGTGTTGGTGTGCAGTAGCTCTGCACTCTAACGAAAGAATTCAATGTCATGGCACTACAGTCACTGGTAGCTTTTGCCACTTAGGGTGCCCACCCCAATTATCTTTAAGGGTAAGATTAACTCTCAAAGCTCATTGCCGTAGTCACACTGAGTCATCATACACTATATGGAAGAACGGAGTCATGAACTTCTGGCTGGTAACTTTTTTTTCAGTGTGCTAATATTTACTCTCTTCGAGTCACTGGAAATGCTAACAATTTAGGATACTTTTACAACTCAGTTCAAACCAAGTTAGAAATTGTAAATCTTTTCAACCACATTGTTGATAATGTGTTTACTGACCCAGATTTTTTTAAGAAATACATAAAAGTGCCAGAAAAAACTGTTAAACTGTGATTATTTTCATTTCTTTAAACATCCACATCTCCTAGGGCATCTTGTAATAGTCCAAATACTTTGAGAAAGCACATGATATACTCAAATATTGCTGAAAGCAAAAATTGGAAAGGTATGCAGAAACCTTAGAGAGGGATTACCTCCCTCTCTGTAATAAGATTTACGTGACTGAATGATTAGAATTCTAGGGAATCTGCTTCAGCAAACGTCTGCATGATGTTGGCATTGAAATCAGAGTGTTACCTAGCCAGCTCTCTCAATTCTGAGAGGCTGTGAGCTACAATGCCATGAGGCAATCTCATCAAGTGGGTCTACTGAAGATTTAAGATAACTGGAGAGTAATAACTATGCCAGCAAGACATGAGGCAATAGTATTTTGCTTAATGCATTTAAAATATTGAAAATGTATCTACAAAGACATTTAGATGGATGCCAGTTAGGTGAGTGTCACTTGTCAACTCTTGCTGTCATTTGATTTTCTCTGCTGCAGTATTCCTGTGGTTCCTGTACAGATTGTTTTTTATTTCCCATTAACATCATGCTATTCAAAACAGTAAATTTTAGAAATGTTACCGCCATAAACTTTGGTTATTTTAATATCCAAAGCGGTAAATCTAAGGATTTTTTTGGATTGCTTCTTTTTAACAGTCTCTACAGAGCCAGGATTGGGAGCTCCCATCTCTTTCTGACCTTCAGCTCTCTGTTCATATCACCTGACTAGTTTCTCTTTGGTGGAAAATGGGTGGGAGACTTGGAAGAGATTTTTGGCAGAATTCATGTCAGCCTACATCTGTTTTGCAGCTGTTGCAACTAAGGCAAAAAAAAAAAAAAAAGAGAGAGAGAGAGAGAGAGAGAAAGAAAAGAAAAAACCCCTAACAACCTTAGTTTTCTTTTCCTGGCTACATCTTATGCCAAATGGTAGGTGTAGAGGCAGAGAACAAAGCCTAGGGGGATCTAGGTTACACTCCTTGCCTCTCAGAAAGTACATACAAAATATATACAGATGGTATAGACCACATGATGAAAAATATAGCAATCTACATTGTCTCCCAGCCAAATTCTAGCATGCTCTCTGAAGACAAAGCCTACAGGCAGGTATTAGTACCTTATCAGTCTTTTTTTTGCAAACTTCTGTTCTTTGTTTCTCTACTAATGTAGGCATGTAAAGACTGCTTTCAGGGCTACAGATTATGCCACTTTCCCAGAATTGTTATTTTTGGTTTTCAAAAACTCTAGTCAGGATCTTTAATATCTCCTGCTAGACAAAGATGCTGGTTGGTAACTGATGTAGTAGGTACCATTTGGAAAGACGTTCAAAGTTATAAATGACTGTCCTACAGATCTTTTGGAGGTTTAGATCTTTTCCTGAGCTTAGCAATGGCTCAAAAATTGTTACAAAAATCATTACTACTTGTGCTCCATCCTAAAAAGTTATTTCTACCTTACTCTAAGGAAAGGATTGCTGTTAATCCCAGCATTCATAAGATATTGTCAGAGTTC